GAATTCTATAACATCTGCTTCAACATCTAAAAATAGGTGGTTTGTTCTATCTAAATTTTTGCATAAAAAATCCTCTCACTCATCTTTTTCTGCTCAACAGTTTCATGACTTTTTGTAAATAAAATTACTTTTTTAAGAACATCTAATTCTAATTTTTTTTCTCATAACTTTACTAAACTTACTACTGAATCTTATTCTGTATTTATTCCAATAAATCTTTTAGAACTAACTAAAATTATTAATTCTATGTTGTCGACAACCTGTTCTCTAGATCTACTTCCTTCTAATTTACTTAAAAAATTTTCTTCAATATTTTATCCAATCATTCTCAAATTAGTTAATTTATCTCTTTCCACCTCTAAATTTCCTACTTCTTATAAGAATTCTATTTTATTCTGTCCTGGTTATGACATTAAACTGACCCTCACTGCCTTGTGAGTGATGTTGGATCATCAAAGGCTAGGCCCACCGCTTATAACTGTGGTTGCGTAAGGAAGGGCGTCCTGTGTAAAAACTAGCCAAATAATAATACTTATGATGACGGAAAAAACAATGGCCCTCAGTATCCGGCAGAAGAGGGTGCGAAGAATCTCCGGAGACCCAGTCCATGGGGTTGTGGTGCAAGGCCCTGTGGATAGTCTGGCTACTGGCACCCCACTCTATAGTGTGGCGGTGCAAGGCACTATAGATGGAAGGACTACTTGTAGACCAAGGGGTTGGAGGTTTGGTACCTGGAATGTAGGCACGTTGACAGGAAGAAGTTTGGAAGTGGTGGAGGAGCTGCAGAGGAGAATGGTTGACGTGGCTGCATTACAGGAGATCAGATGGAAGGGTGAGGGTACAAGGTTTGTGGGGGCTAAAGGTGGAAGATATAAGTTGTGGTGGAAGGGGGATGATGGTACGGGAGGAGTTGGTGTGATGGTAAGAGAAGAGTTGGTGGAGAAGGTGTTGGAAGTGAGGCGGAGAAGCAATGGGGTAATTGTGGTGGTGATGGTGTTTGGAAAAGTAATAGTGAGAGTGATATCAGGATATGCTCCGCAACAAAGTAGGAAGGAAGAGGAGAAGGATAGGTTTTATGATGATGTTTCTGACGAGATTGGGCAAGCGGGGTTGAATGAGTTTGTGGTGTTGTTGGGTGATTTGAATGGTCATGTGGGGGCGGATGCAGACGGATATGAAGGTGTACATGGGGGATGGGGATATGGTATACGGAATGAGGAAGGGCGTAGAGTGTTGGAGTTAGCGGATGCACATAGCATGGTGGTGGGGAATACTTGGTTCACAAGGGAACCAGCGCGATTGATTACTTATAGGTCATGATAGACTATATATTGGTAAGGGCCAAACATAGGAAGTATGTGAAGAATGTGAAGGCGATACCTGGTATGTTGCAGCATAGTATGGTTGTGATGGATGTGACATCAAAAGAAATGGGGAGGAGGAAGAAGGATAAGTTTGTGGCAAAGAGAAAGACATGAAAGTTGCAGGATGCAGAGGTGAGGAAGGCATTTGAAGTGAAGGTGGCTGAAAATTGGGAGAGTGGTAAGGATGGAAATGTTTGGGAGAGATACAGGGATTGTGTGTTGGCTACGGCAGATAAAGTATGTGGATGGACGAAAGGAAAGTGTAGGCATGGTGAGACGTGGTGGTGGGATGAAGATATAAGAAGGGTTTTGGAAGTCAAGAAGGAGAGGTTTAGGGTATGGAGAAGGGACATGACGGAGGAAGCGGAGTCTGACTATAGGAAGGCTAAGAAGGTTGCAAAACAGGCAGTGGCAACTGCAATGACGAAAGCATCAGATAGGTTAATGAAGGAAATGGAATTTGATGTGAGTTCGAGGAAAATGTTCAAAGTAGCAAAGCAGTCAATGAGGGATAGGAAAGATGTTATAGGGAATGGATGTGTTTGGGATAGATCTGGCAAGTTGTGCATAGATGAGGATGAAAAAGCTCAGGTGTGGAAAGCCCATATGGAAAGGTTGATGAATGAAGAGAATGAGTGGGATGGAAATGTGGAATCCGCGGTCACACACGGACCTATAGAGAAGGTGACGATGGAGGAAGTAGAGAAAGCAGTTAGAAAAATGAAACTAGGTAAGGCGACAGGGGTTTCGGAAGTGGCGGCAGAACATATAAAAGCGAGTGGGGTGGTAGGAATTGAAGTTATGATGAGAATTGCTAACAGTATGTTTGATGATGAAGGTATACCTGAGGATTGGCGACACAGTGTGTTGGTGCCGTTGTATAAGGGCAAAGGAGATGTGAGAGATTGTGGGTCATACAGGGGTGTGAAATTACTAGAGCACGGTATGAAGGTAGTGGAGAGGGTGCTTGAGAAGAGGTTGAGAAGTATGGTGACAGTTAATGAAATGCAGTGTGGGTTTATGCCTGGTAGGGGAACGGTGGATGCGTTGTTCATGGTGAGAATGTTGCAGGAGAATTATAGAAAGAAGAAACGAAGATTGTACATGTGTTTTGTGGATCTAGAAAAGACTTTTGATCGAGTACCAAGGAAGGTCATTGAATGGGCGTTGAGGAAGAAAGGAGTGAATGAGAGACTTGTTAAAGCTGTGATGCAGCTGTATGAAGGGCAAAGACAAAGGTGAGGGTTGGAAGGGGGATGTCGGACGCTTTTAGTGTTAAGGTAGGAGTGCATCAAGGATCAGTGTTATCACCGTTTCTGTTTGCAATTGTGATGGATGTTGTGTGTGGAAACATAATGGAGGGGTTGTTATTTGAGATTTTGTATGCAGATGATTTAGTCTTGATGGCTGATAGCATGGAAGAATTGCAGTTAAAATTTGATAGATGGAAAAGTGTTATTGAAAAGAAAGGTTTAAAAGTTAATATTGGTAAGACGAAGGTAATGGTGAGTGGGGAAGGTGGGGAGCGAGTGATAAGTAAAATAGACCCCTGTGGGGTATGTGACAGGAGAGTGAAGGCTAACTCGGTATTGTGTATAGGATGTCAGAAATGGGTGCATAAGAGATGTAGTGGTGTGAGGGGAGCACTGAAAAAGGTGGAAGGCACGTTCAAATGTAAGAAATGTGTTCCCGGTGTGATTAATAGGACGGACGCAAGGACGGGGTTGAGTGGTGGTATTGAAAGAGTGGAAAGCTTTGTTTACTTAGGGGATAAGCTGAATGCGGATGGAGGATGTTTGAGCGCAG